ATATAGGTACTACATGTGGACCTCTCTCAGATTTGTTCATTTTGTAATGATATCTTTAATTCTCTAATTTTGGTGAATATTTTTGTCATTTTTGGTAAAAAGTGATATTTTCGACTTCTTGTTAAAAACCGCAAGTCCAATTGCTTTGATATTACCTATATATGTACTACATGTGAACCTCTCTCAGATTTGTTCATTTTGTGATGATATCTTCAATTCTCTAATTTTGGTGAATATTTTTGTAATTTTTGGTAAAAAGTGATATTTTCGACTTCTTGTTGAAAACTGTAAGTCCGATTGCTTTGATATTACATATATAGGTACTACATGTGGACCTCTCTCAGATTTGTTCGTTTTGTGATGATATCTTCAATTCTCTAATTAATTTATTTTGGTGAATATTTTTGTAATTTTTTGGTAAAAAGTGATATTTTCGACTTCTTGTTAAAAACTGTAAGTCTGATTGCTTTGATACTATTCATATTGTTCATTTTCTAATCATGTCTTCAGTTCTTTAATTGAAATGTGCATTGCTAACAGCGGAGCTATCTCAGCCAAGAGGCTGCTTGTTTGTTGTTGTCCCGCCCTTGAAATGGGATAATATGAGTGTCAACATTGATACAACATATTACGTCAATCTTCAGACATGCTTATTTGTTGAGGTGAATGTGAGATTAGTTAAACAAAATTGACTGTCACAATGAACTTATTTGCTCATTGGTTAAATTAAAGTTCTGTCAATTCAAACATTGAGTCCAATTTGCAAAAAGCACATGCACAAGTGTATAATCATGATTTGCAATATGTTAATCACACATCAAAGGTTTCTTTAAAACGTTATGTCTTGAGTTTATTATATGACTGGCTATCAGAAAGGCTATGATTTATAAAACTAAAATGTTTCTGTTATAGATGCTGGTATACCAGCAGACAGGCACTAATAGAGGCTTCCATTTTCCTGGTCCACAGCCACATTCCACATCTATGATTGGTCCTCACAACTGAGTAGATTGGCAAGATGTTGTGAGTGTAGACCATGCCTGCTAGTTATCTTGCCTTTGTAGAATCTTCTTCAGACTTCAATCATGTTGGATATTATGTATTATATCGGTGATGATTTTTATTATTTTTTACACTTTTGCAGTCAAACTTGGTAACAGTATTTCTGACAGAGAGTCGTTTCCACTGCATTACATTTTGATAATCGCTGGCACCTCCCTCATCATTGTTATCATCATCCTTGTGGTTATCTGTGTATGCCTGTGTAGCCGTCGAAAAGTCAAGTTTTCAGACGCAAATATCGAAGCCTACAGGTCAGCATAAAAACATTAAAAACAAATTTATAATCATAATCTCATAATGTTTGTTTTATTTTACTAGAAAATGACAATGATCTAACGAGTGTATATCACTGAACAAGACGTTCACATTAGATGACCTGTATAAATTGATAAATCAATTTATGGAAAAGTGTTATTCATTTGTACATTTTATAAAAGTAAATATCCCTTATTTTTATTTTGTAGGGTGAATTCTCAGCAAAGCAAACATTATAGTTTTATAAATCCTCTATCCTGGCGACCAAGAAAGCGAGCCTACACTGTCTACAAGAAAAATAAAGTGGTCACTGCCATTTGTAAGTTGTTTATATACTTTCAGTTTCTTTGTTAGTTGATCCCCCCCCCCCCCCCAGAATTAAAGACATCAAATTTTTGACTGGACACAGTCTGGGAGCTTATGGGTTGGGTTCTCTTTGTCGTAATTTATCTCAGAAGTTCATGGCCCAGTTTTCCCCAAACTTAGTAAACAGTTTACATGATGGTAAACGTGTGCCCAAGATTTGTTTTTCTCAAATAGAAAATGGCCGACTGGTGTTGATGTTTGATTCAGAAATAGCCTAAAAATCTCAATTTTATAGGTGTAGAACACCTTTTGGCATACTCAGGCACATTATTTTTTTAGATGTTTTTTTAAAATTTATTGACTGGTAGCCATTTTGTTCAGCATAAATATTTATTTTTTCTTATAACTTTAGCCTTATATGGTAGCCATTTTGTTTTACAAAAATCTGCAATTTTCGTCTTTTTTAGCTCCGCTATCGACTTTGTCGAACGGAGCTTATCATATGAGTGATTGTCCGTCGTCGTTTGTGTCAATGTTTTACTTTTTCGACTTCTTCTTGAAAACTACTAGCCTGAATGCTTTGATACTTGGTGTATATGTACCTTGGGTAGACTTCTCTTAGGTTTGTTCATTTCATGTTGATATCTTCAATTTTTGTCATTTTTGGTAAAAAGTGATATTTTCGACTTCTTGTTAAAAATAGCAAGTCCAATTGCTTTGATATTACATATATAGGTACTACATGTGGACCTCTCTCAGATTTGTTCATTTTGTAATGATATCTTTAATTCTCTAATTTTGGTGAATATTTTTGTAATTTTTTGTAAAAAGTGACATTTTCGACTTCTTGTTAAAAACCGCAAGTCCAATTGCTTTGATATTACATATATAGGTACTACATGTGGACTTCTCTCAGATTTGTTCATTTTGTAATGATATCTTTAATTCTCTAATTTTGGTGAATATTTTTGTCATTTTTGGTAAAAAGTGATATTTTCGACTTCTTGTTAAAAACCGCAAGTCCAATTGCTTTGATATTACATATATAGGTACTACATATGGACCTCTTTCAGATTTGTTAATTTCGTGGTGATATTTTCAATTATCTAATTTTGATGATTATTTTTGTCATTGTTGGTGAAAAGTGATATTTTTGATACTATACATATTGTTCATTTTCTAATGATATCTTCTGTTCTTTAATTGAAATGTGCATTGCTAACAGCGGAGCTATCTCAGTCGACCGGCTGCTTGTCTTGCACATTTTGCCTTGTATCTCAAATTTATGCAGTCTAATTAGGTCGAAACTTTGTTTTCATACAATTGTGTGCTAGCAACTCAATAACATTTGTGTTTGTGATACAATCCAATCCCAGATGTTTGACTGTCAGTCATAGACCATATCACAATTCCACATCATAGTATACCAGTATTGTGAGATAAATATGACCAAATCAACTCCTACAATCATAAAGCGAGTCTGCTGCCCCAATCTGACTTGCACTGTAATTTGGAATTGCCAAAATAGACATTAGACTCACACATGTTAAATTGTCAGGAAATCACTGATTCAGTGTAGATCTGGTACATGATAAAAAAGAAGCATATACATGCTGACATTCCATTGTCATGTATTAATGTACAAGAACAAAGAAAGCTGTGAAATTTTTAATGGCTTGTTCAATATGAGGCACAGTTCATCCCTGAACACTGTTATCTGTTGTTTCTTATCTAGTAGATACGGTTATATTCTATTGTTAATCCAAAGCTCACCTCTACCCTACCCTAGTCTTACTGTGGTGAAAACAATTATAGGGTTATATATTATCAAGACATCGCCTGTTGAAAACCTCCATGGATAGCCAACGTTTCGAAAAATGGTGTCAGTAAGCAATACATTGATTGATTGATTGATTGATTTGGAAAATGTAGTCATCAAGTTGAGTTGGTTTCAATGAATAGTAGCCTATCTCCTAGTGTATATTCATGTAACAATGCTGATATTATAATGATATAATGCAATTATAATTTTCAGTAAAAACATTGCAGTTAGATAAAGATACAGAAGAGAAGTTGAAGGATGCAATAATTTCACCCAATTGGTTGTATCTTGGAATCAAACTAGGAGAAGGTAAATTTTCGCAATGTTGCATTCAATATTTTTATAGCTTACTTATTAATAGGGGACAACAATAAACGTTTTCATCTTATTATGGTAAGATTAGGTGATTTTACAAAACTAATAAGTGAACTAAGATAGTGATTTAGTCAGGTTGTGTTGTTGAAATAATTTTGAAGAGGAACATAGATGTGGTCCAAACATCTTTATTATTGGCATACATTGTCTGCAGATATGTTGCCATGGAAACTGGACTTTCATAGTATGATATGAAGCTTGGAATGAGTTAAAATCAGACATTTGACGATAGAAACTCAATTATTTGGATAATAACATAATAATATCTAATGCAAACATATTCCAATTTACATAATGCATACTAATTAATCAACATGTAAATTTAGAAGATTTTTTTTGATCTTTTTATTGCAGGTGAATTTGGATTTGTGCGACAAGGAAAACTGACATATCCCAACGGCAATGAATTAAAAGTTGCTGTTAAAACTATGAAAAGTAAGTACCGGTATCAGTAACAGGGATATTTCAAAATATTTTGTGTTTTGTATTACCATACTAATCATATGTTTCCTTCATATAGATGCCCCAGATAAACATGAATTGGAGGCATTTATCAAAGAAGGAATTGTTATGAAAGATTTTGAACATATCAATGTCATGAATTTAATAGGTAAGGTTCTAATTTAATTTTTTTTTTTATGGATAATAATTTGGTTAATAAAAACATTATTACATTATATTGATAAAGTTATTTTCAACTCCAACTGTTATTACTTTATTGCAGCTTTTAAATAATTTGTTGTGAATTACAGAAAATTATTTCAATGCAAAAGTCAAAATAAATACGTATGCCACTATTCTAGTTTATTTATTTGTTCAAATCAAGATATCTCATGAATATTTATGAGGTGATAAAATAATTGAAATCAATGGTATTCCTATATTTGAAGGCATTGTCTTGCCCTGTTTGTGGGGTGTGAACTAAGTTTCTTGAGTGATGTGGTGTATCCTTTGGCAGTAATCTCATAAGCTAAGTGAGTGAAAATACACCATGGATACACCACATCATGAGGCTGAATAAGGTTTACAGGGAAGACTTATGTTAAGTACAGAATGATTGGTAATTGATCTGGTGAAATGGGGGCATGAAAAGTAAAATACCCCGGCCAATCAGGTAATTTGTATAAATAGTTCTTGTGTACTCTTGTGGAAAATATTTAACTTTTTGTAATGAAAAAAGGACTGCTTTGCATATACAATAGGTATTTGTCTTGAAGAAGACCTCACAAGTGAAGCCATCAAACCCATGGTGATACTGCCGTTTATGGAAAATGGAGACCTGCGTACCTATTTACAGAATTCCAGGTTGTCTGGAACACCACAGGTAATGATGGATAAAGATGTGCTTTGGTCAACTTCTTAGATCCTATATTAATATTTATTTTTTTATTCTCCTTCTGTTGAAAATTCTGGCAAGTAAGGGGTTAACCATTAAAAATG